GCGTGGCAATCCAGCAGGGCTTCACCAAGCACCATGGGAGAGGAGGAGTAGGAAGAGAGGTAGGGCTGTGCCAGAACTTCGTGTATAGCTCCCATGCGCCTCCCCACTATATATAGGGGTGGAGGGGCTGGTTTCTTGCCCTCCAAGTCCATTGGGGCGTTGGCCAAGGTGGGAGGAAAGAAATCTCATTATTTCCTTCCCCACCGATTGTTCTCCCCCCTTTTTAGGGATCTTGATCTTATCCCTTCGGGATATGATCTTATTCCTTCTAAGGGGGGATCTTGGTGCGCCTTGACCAAGGGTGTGGGGCCTTGCCCCCACTACCCACGTCCATGTGGGTCCCCCCATGCAGGTGGGCCCCACTCCGGAACCTTCTAGAACCTTCCTAGTACAATACCGAAAAATCCCGAACATTTTCCGGTGGCCAAAATAGGACTTCCCATATATAAATCTTTACCTCCGAACCATTCCGGAACTCCTCGTGACGTCCGGGATCTCATCCGGGACTCCTAACAACATTCGGTAACCACATACAAACTTCCTTTATAACCCTAGCGTCATCGAACCTTAAGTGTGTAGACCCTACGGGTTCGGGAGACATGTAGACATGACCGAGACGTTCTCCGGTCAATAACCAACAGCGGGATCTGGATACCCATGATGGCTCCCACATGTTCCACGATGATCTCATCGAATGAACCACGATGCCAAGGACTTAATCAATCCCGTATTCAATTCCCTTTGTCTATCGGTATGTTACTTGCCCAAGATTCGATCGTCGGTATCCAAAACCTTGTTCAATCTCGTTACCGGAAAGTCACTTTACTCGTTCCATAACACATCATCCCGTGATCAACTCCTTGGTCACATTGCGCATATGATGATGTCCTACCGAGTGGGCCCAGAGATACCTCTTCGTTTACACGGAGTGACAAATCCCAGTCTCGATCCGCATAAAACAATAGATACTTTCGGAGATACCTGTAGTGCACCTTTATAGTCACCCAGTTATGTTGTGACGTTTGATACACCCAAAGCACTCCTACGGTGTCCAGGAGTTACACGCTCTCATGGTCGAAGGAAGAGATACTTGACATTGGCAAAGCTCTAGCAAATGAACTACACGATCTTTTGTGCTAGTCTTAGGATTGGGTCTTGTCTCAACGACATCCAATGTCCATAGCCAGGAAACCATGACTATCTGTTGATCACAACGAGCTAGTCAACTAGAGGCTCACTAGGGACATATTGTGGTCTATGTATTCACACGTGTATTACGATTTCCGGATAATACAGTTATAGCATGAATAAAAGACAATTATCATGAACAAGGAAATATAATAATAATACTTTTATTATTGCCTCTAGGGCATATTTCCAACACATACTTGTCACTGAAGCCATGATTGTCAACAACCATTCTACTTGCTGACGATGACTCGTCAGATGGAAGGCTGGAACCGAAGGCTGGAACCCATTCACGATGAGGTCCAACCATGGATGTGGCCAGCTTGTAGATTTGGTGACCACATCCATGGGACTGCCACCCATGCATGCATTAGAACAACCCCAATCAGCGGGGTTAGGACTCTAGGAAGGGGATGATCATGAGGGAGGACGGAGGAGGAAACCGCACATAGGGCCACATCCCCTTTGGTGCCGACACACACACACACACATGCGTGCGCGCGCGCGATTCAGGGGACACTCTTGTTGTAAAATCATCACACTTCCGATCACTTCTGGCACCATTGCACCCCAGGCTACACTGTGCAGCCTACTATCGTCGCAACCATACTACTCGTCGCCACTGCGAGCATATGACAGTTAGTGCCACCATCTCCACCTAAGGCAGCTTCCCTATTTCCGGCGTCCTCCCCGTGAGGGAGCAACGAGGGCCTTGCGGCCACCTTCATCTGTGTTGCACGGCTTGTCGGAGGTTACCTCTGGCAGCGGCTCGGAGGGAAGAGAGTGTTGGCGGTTGGCGGGGCCAATCATGGGAGATTCGAACAACTTGCTCTAGCAATCCGTTCTAATGGAAGTGCCTTAATTTTGTTTACCTTGGATCTTTTTGGATTTGAAAGTGTGTTGGCCAAGGGTGAATATGGGAGTGCTGAGTTAGGTTGCACATGAAAAAAAAATCCCTAACAAAGTGTGTTTTCTCATTACATCAAGCTGATCCAACATAGTCGAGCAAATATCTGGCCTTTGCATATTTTCACACATTAACATGACTAAGAAAAAGGTTGATGGGTGTGAGATTGTGAGAATTTGACAGCGAGGGGATGGGGATTTACATGTAGGTGTGAAGCAGATAGTGGAACCATCTACAACAAATGTGCACCCCTTTTTTTTCTTGAATACATACGAGTGTACATACTATATATTAAAGAGAGGATGGGGAGAAGAAACCCCTCCATGTTGGATGTTACAAATTACACGCACCCAAACTCCACTCTAGGTCCACCTATTGCATAGCTAACTTCTCGCGTTTGCCCACGTAACCAATGCATGCAACATCGGCTCTACGTCTCCCTTGAAGATACCAGCCTCCTTCCAGCTTCCGCCTTCCTTCCCCAGAACTTTGCTGCATATGTTGATCGAGCAGAGAAAACACCGTTCTTTTCCCAAGCCCAAACTATGGAATCCAGGACAACATGGTTGAGCTCTACTTGCTCCACTGTAGTCCAAAGGTTAAGGTACTCCTGAATTAATAGGGCCGACATCTCCGGCCCAATGTCCGTGGCCCATGCGCCGTCAACGACCGCCTGATAGACCGTGCGCGATCTCCTGACACCAAAGCTGACTCTGTCATATAGGCTTGGTGCAACTTCCTGAATTCATACTCCATTCAATCATCTATCCTCCCAGAATAGGGTTGACATGCCATCACCCATGGTCGCCCTCATGGCCGCCCAGGAAAGTTGTGACGCCTCTTTGTGGCACCGGGATCTCGAAATCTGCCCATGATCATTGTTTATAGGTTCGTTGGAGCCATGGCCACCTTCCTTGCACGTCGATGTTCCTCCACCTCAGATTGGGAATGCCTAGGTCATCCGCCCATTTTGGAGAGCAGACTTTCTCCCACGCTACCATGCACTGCCCACCGTTGGCATGATCTTTTGCACACCAAAGGAAACCTATCTTTTCAATTGCCTTGATGATCTTCTGAGGAATGTCTAAAGCAAGCATTGCATAGATTGGAATCGCACATAACACAGACTGCACGAGGATCATCCGTCCACTCTTGGGCATAGATGATGCTTTCCACTTTGGCAAGCAGCTGGCAAGTTGGTCTACGAGCCCCTTGAGCTGACCCGTGCTTTGCTTTCTGATGGTTAGTGGGAGGCCGAGGTACTTGCATGGGAACATACCCGTCAGACACCCAAGAACCTGGCTGGCCCTGTCAATCGTCGCCTCACTGCATCTGTTGGAAGGGCGGCACTCTTCATCAGGTTGATACGAAGGCCCGAGACATCGCCGTATAGTTGGAGGATTGTAGCAGAGACTTGGAGATCAAGCTCCCTCGGCTTGATGAATAGCATCACATCGTCAGCAACACACGAACACTCTCTATTGGAAGCCAATTCATGCAAGTGGTGCTAGTAGTCCATGACTTGCGGCAAAGTCCATCATTTGTCACGCACTCACGTCGTCTCGACGAGCGGACTTTATTTGCCAGGAACACAAACCTTCTCTTGCCTCCCTCTCATACAATCGTTTAACCTAGTAAGGTGGGAAATTATAGCTCCTAATTTGTATAATCCATGACACAAATTGAGAGAGATGTCAAACTTGTCATGGAGATAAACTTCGTTGTAAGTTGCAGTAATTATTGTGAGCAAAATACCTTTATTCCTCGAGCTTTTAGTACTTATTTCATTCAAGAAAATTACATGTGATTACTTTTTTTTGGAGGTTTGAATCGTTAGGGATTGTCACCGTGGAAGTTGTTTAACTTGCTTGAGACGGATCGCTAGGATTTCTCTTCGGCATTGTAAAAACACCGGAATAAGTAAAATGTATGACTGAATTTGAGTTTGTTTGATTGCATCGTAGGAAAACAAAGAATCTTTTTCCAAGATGTTGGAGTCAATTATCAAGTGTAACACAAACTATTTCTTAGAAAAAAAAATCTTATAGGATTCAATACGAATCAAGCCATCAACATAGGAAAAAAAATCCTTTGAATCAAAGAGGCATGTAGAGGATTGCTGCGGTTTTATTTCGTTGTCCTTTAGGTTGGCCATAGTGGGGGTATCTCAGCTGGTATCATGCACTCGGAAATAGCAAACGTGCTGATGTAACAAAGAATTGAAGAAAAGAGAAAGGGTTAGAGTAACATAGGTAGATACCGTAACATAATAAATGTTATACTATTTTGTGTCATGCATGACCATAAATAAGATTATCTATGATACTACTCTATGATACTTTGCATTATGAAGATAGTATCATACACTAGTATCACATGATACTGCTTCACTATGAGTAGCCTCAGGAATTCCACGTATGAAAGACTTATTTGACAATTGTCATGGACAATGTGTGCGGTAAATGTAAATGCTGCAAGGGGATGAACTGATCCCGACGCACGAATAACCGGGCCAAGCTGTCGACACCAAGTGCCAACACATGAATGATACAAAAACCTCTGCCACATGATATCTCGGCGCTGTCCAACCGGAGCGCCCGGCCAGGCTAGCTCCCTGCTTTTATTTATACGCCATCCCATGGGCTCTTGCATCAGTTGATTGCTGCTGCAGCGAGTGGCCTCACCTCCCCTCCCCTCTCTGGCTCTCCCCCGTCCGTCCTCGCTCCCATCCAGATCGTCTCTGCAATCACGACACCCGGAGCAGGGCAGAGGCCATTGGCCGCCGCGAAACAGAAGCAGTGCGCTTTGCAGCTCCTCTATCCCCCACATCGATCATAACTAGAACAGTCCCCATTTCCAGTTTCGAACCGCCTCTTTCCTCCTCGAGCTGCGGGGTTGCTCGCGGATGAAGCGGCAGATCAAGAGGCCGACCCGCAGCCAAGAATCGCCAGAGCCAGGTATTGTTTATAGCTGCCGCGGAAGAGATCTCCCTCTGTTTTTGGTGTACTTGTTGCTTGCTTGATGTTGGTATGTACTCCTACTCCTACATAGCAGTACCATCATCGCTTTTGAGCTTAAATTTTGGTAGCGCAAAGTATGTGCCCTTTTGACATATATGGAGCTTACTTGGATCTATGACATATTCCATTTGCGTCGAGCGATCGAAATTAGCATGAGCATTCCTGCTCACTCTATGCTCCGACTGTCCGACAGTATGTATGTATGCAGTCACCTTGCATTTGGAAGCATTTTGTGATCTAGGCAATTATGGAACACAAGTGGTTCTTTGAGGATTAGGTGTGGGAACTAGGGAGAGACGGACACGAAGCTAACCATGTTGGCATGTTGCAGGGGAGAAGCTGGCGTTCGCTGAGAAGGAGCACCTGCTCGCGGCTTACATGGAGCACGACGAGCCCGAGCTGGAGGAGGCCGACGAGGAGGAGGAGGAGGAGGAGCGCGCCATGTCGTGCGGGCTGGGCGGCAAGAAGCGGCGGCTGGCTTTGGAGCAGGTGCGCGCGCTGGAGCGCAGCTTCGAGACGGACAACAAGCTGGACCCGGAGCGCAAGGCCCGCATCGCCCGCGACCTCGGCCTGCACCCGCGCCAGGTCGCCGTCTGGTTCCAGAACCGCCGCGCCCGGTGGAAGACAAAGCAGCTCGAGCGCGACTTCAACGCCCTCCGCGCCCGCCACGACGCGCTCCGCGCCGACTGCGACGCGCTCCGCCGCGACAAGGACGCCCTCGCCGCCGAGGTACTTGCTCCATTGCTGCCGCTGGTGTTAGCTGTTTGACACGCGTGGCCACGTCGCTTGATGGTTACTTATCTGTGCTCTGTGTCCCGCGTTCAGATACATGAGCTGAGGGAAAAGCTGTCCATCAAGCTGGAGACGGCGGTGAAGGCTGAGGCCACCGGCAATGTCGACGCCGCGGAGGAGCGCCTGCAGCAGGCGACGATGGTAGGCGCGACGGTCTGCAAGGACGGGTCCTCGGACAGCGACTCGAGCGCGGTGTTCAACGACGAGGCGTCGCCGTACTCCAGCGCGGTCTTCGAGCAGCAGGGATTCATGGGGTTCGGCGCGTCGTTCCTGGACTCGGCGTCGGCGGCCGCGGCCACCACGGGCTGCTCGTCCCTCCCCATGCTGGAGCCCAAATGGCCCGGCGCGTACCCGTACGACGCGAACAGGTCCGGCGGCTACGGCTTCACGGAGGAATGGCTGGCCGGCTCGGACGCGATCGTCAACGACGGCAGCTCAGCCTTCTTCTCCGAGGAGCACGTCTCCAACCTCAACTTCGGCTGGTGCAGCAGTGGCGCCGAGGGTTTTGATCTCCAGAGTTACTGTAAAAAGTAAGAAGGTGTCACTGTCCATGCAGCGACAGCGCGTACTTACTTTCTACTGGCTAGCTACCTTAGCCTAGCTAGCGGACAAGAGGGGCAGCAATGGTGGAATTTGATGAGAAGGGTGAATTGCCTGATGAATGGACCTCCCGCCATGGAGGGAGGAAGTAAATGTTAGTACTACTCGTAGTACAGTACAAAAATAACGGTCTCTAGTCTAGGTTTAATCGATGGTGTAAAAAGTTGCAATCCAAGCAGCCGTCCCTACATTCTCCTGGTACCTGAGTCCTGCTACTGCTAGCTGATCGTAACATTTTGGCGTGTATCACTTCGTTGCGACAAAATGGTCAGAGTACACGCCAATGGAGGGACGTACAGGTTTCAGACTGAAACACACTGCTCAGGGATAGGGATTCATTCTACCAATGAAACACACTTCTACAAATTTTTTCTAACTTGCTTCAGACATCGCATTGGTGATCCGTCGCCCCGTTCGTAGTACAATTGCCGTCTGCGGTAGAATTTTCTTCTTCACAAGCGTCTTTTAACAACGCCATCTGAATTCATCGATTGATTGATTAAATAAAGTATAGTACTAGACTGAAAAAACTTATACAAACACCAACAGTAAACACATTTGGTAAAACTGAAAGTTGCATCAATGGTTTTGAAAAGGCCGCATACATTTGGTAAAACTGAAAGTTGCGTCAATGGTTTTGAAAAGGCCGCATACATTTGGTAAAACTGAAAGTTGCATCAATGGTTTTGAAAAGGCCGCATACATTTGGTAAAACCGAAAGTTGCATCAATGGTTTTGAAAAGGCCGCATACATTTGGTAAAACTGAAAG